ATGTTCAGGGTCTCAGTGTTAGGGTCTGTGTTCAGGGTCTCAGTGTTAGTGTCTGTTTTCAGGACGCCGGTGATGGAGCGAGCCGACCGCAGGAACGGAGAGCAGGTCCGACCTCTCCGATTTCACCTGAACGCACCGCCGGACATCCCTCTGACTCCTCCTCACAAAGAGGTAACCACGGCAACAATGCCTTCACTGACCACCGATATGATAAAATATTTGTTGTTCTTTTGTTCATTTGGGGCGACTTCTACAACTTAGATACACATATACAAAATAATAAATCGACAATAAGCATATATAAATAAAACGTTAAGTATTCCCTAAAAGTCAAACTATATATTTGTACTCTTTTCTTTGAAAAACATTTTAATTAAATGTTTTAATAATTGGACAGAGTTACTCTTTAGTCTATTTGGCCTCTTTGATTTGTTGAGTGTTTACATCTTTTAAAGGCCCAAAGCTACATATTACCCCAAACACATCACAAGGTATTTTATTAAAATATATGATTCTTAGAGATGTGACAACAGACACAGTCTCTTCTGTCCAGCTGTGAGGTTTAACCTTCAAAGGAAACGGTGTCCATTCGTTAAAAACCCCAAAATAAACCCTGCGTCTTTCTTTGAAACCTCCGGCGTGATGTTTGTCTCTTTATTAGTGATAAAGGTCAGCGAGGACAGAAACTGGAAGTCCTGCTTTCACTTCGGCTCTTAAAGCTTTCACATTTCCTCAACTGTGTCTTAGAGGTACTTATACTTTACTTGAGTATTTCCATTTGTTGCTACTTCATACTTTTACTCCACTACAGTTCAGAGGTAAATGGTGTACTTCTCCTCCACTACATGTATTTAATACCTTTAGTTACTTCTCAGATGTGGATGAATGATGTGAAATCTAATCAAGTGTTAAATCAGACTTCAGTTCCACCTGGAGTAAATCCACCAGCTACCCTACAGTATACAAAGTCATTCAAACTAGCTGCACCTTTACCAGCTTTGAGAACACTTTCATGATCAATCATTATAAAACATATCATATATATTATTCTGAAATGGACCAATCAAACAATGACTACTTTTACTGTCGCTACTTTAACTATATTTTGATGAGAATACTTTTACTTTACATTTTGAATGCAGGACTTTTACTGAAACAGAGTATTCCTACTCTCTGGTACTTCCACTTTTACTCAAGTATCACGCTGCAGAGGTTTCTCACGTCAACAAGCTGCTGGTCTGACCTTTGACCTTCTTCTGCGCATGTGTTAGCTGTTTCTCTGCTTCCTGTTTCATCAGGTTCATGACCGACCTACTGCTCCCACTAAGCCCCTCCCCCCCGACCCCACCCTAAACCCTCCCCCACAGGTAACCAGGTGCTAATGTCTCTATGCTAACGTCTCTGTGCTAACGTCTGTTTATTTACCTCTCTGTGCTAACTTCTCTGTGCTAACGTCTCTGTGCTAACCTCTATGTGCTAACCTCTCTGTGCTAACCTCTGTGTGCTAACGTCTCTGTGCTAACATCTCTGTGCTAACCTCTCTGTGCTAACGTCTCTGTGCTAACCTCTCTGTGCTAACGCCTCTGTATGTTAGCGTCTCTGTGCTAACCTCTCTGTGCTAACCTCTCTGTGCTAACGTCTCTGTATGTTAGCGTCTCTGTGCTAACGTCTGTGCTAGCATCCAAATTAAATCATGATCAGAGAAAATGTTTTATCGTCTCTTATTTCTGACCCTGCTGCTCTGTAACCTTTCTTTCTGCTTTAACCTGCTAACCAGCGACCTGCCCCCCCCAGCAAGCCTCTGCCAGGCGACCCCCCTGCTCAGGTACACTCACCTGTACAGTTTCTGCAAAGTTTAATAAAGTCTTCTTCTACTGAAGAGTTTGAAGCTGCATTTATAATGGTGACATTTAAATCATCATTTGAAAGCTGCAAATTCTTATCTTTTGTTTAACGATTTTATTTAAACGGTGGGTGAAGTGCTTTGAGTGCAAAGACTAATGATTAATAGGCTACATGTAATTTACCATATATTTTCTTGATCTCCCCGAGTTGATTGACTGATATCATTAAAGTCATCAAATTTCAGTCTGAATTCATTCACTTCACTGCATAATGTTTGCACATATTCTCTCATTTGCTCTGTTTCTATCTGCATGCAGCACTAATAACTCAAATTAAAAATATGTCTGAGCATGATGTTCCTGTTTAACCCTCTCTTGTAATGAATGCCCCCCCGACTAACCTCCAGCTGCTCGGAAGACCAGCTCCACCCAACAAGCCCCTCCCCCCTGACCCTGGCACACCTGCACAGGTACACCTGTTAGCATGTAGCTGTTAGCATGTAGCCAATAGTTTGTAGCTTCTAACATAGAGCTGTTGGAACTCAGCCACTTACATGTAGCTGTTAGCATGAAGCTGTTTACATGTAGGTGTTAGCATGAAGCTGTTTACATGTGTTAGCATGTAGCTGCTAGTATGTAGCTGTTAGCATGTAGCCAAGAGTTTGTAGCTTTTAACATTGAGCTGTTAGAATTCAGCCACTAGAATTTAACTACTGTCAAGCCAGCCTCCACTCGGAAAAACCTAGTCAAGCCAGCCCTCTGTTAGCATGTAGCTGTCAAAAAAGTAGCTGTTAGCATGAAGCTGTTA